CTGATAGTGATCAGAACGAGACAACGGAAACTGGGGGTGACGACGCGGTAGAGAGAGAGCACCAAGAGTAGGAAGCAGTGAAGCTGCGTAAGTAATAGCCCAAATGACTTGCTTTTAGCAAACAGATGCAATACACAAATTTGCTTTCGTAGCCGTTCTGTACGTGACTCCGTCAAAAACGATTCATTCCCAATAAAACAGCCATTTGCACATGCTCGATGTCGCGTACGGGCTTTACGGAATCTACTCACCATGCTGGATATAAAGCATGTGGGTCCATAATACGTACGATTGCAGGATCTTGTACAAATATACATACACCGATCTTTTTTTCCTATACAAATTTTACGTTAGGACTTTTTTTACATACAGTTGATAGTATGTGCATTCAAGATTTGCTTTAAATGTTCATTAATTTATAATACCGTATGTACTTATGCATTAATCGGCCACGCCGACACCCATACGATTCTCGTACTGTTATTGGTCGAAACTATGTGAGTGAGCCCTAGAAATAACCTGCCATTTTTCAGCTTGCTAACTGCCATATTTACCATGCGCATGCCTCATGGAGTCGGAGAAATCACTTTATGCGTGTGATATGTCAACATCTTAAAAATTGTAAAGACGTATCCATCGTGGCAAGCCACTAAGATCTACTCCGCGCCTAGTGCATCGCTCATTTTAGACCCATTCAGCGCCAATTCAGTACAGCCAAATTGATTTGGCGCCAAACTTGTGCACCTGTTCCGACCAAATGACAGGAAGCACTCGTGTGCAGTAATTGATGTCTGGGCACTGCAGATTCTGCCAACCCTGCTTGCTGTTGTGCGACGTGCACATCGGACGTTCTCTGAGGGCTTGTATCAATAGATGGATTGGAAGCGTCAAGCCATGGAGCATGAACAACGCCACATTTGGTGAGGTTGGTCTTCATGAACAGCAGCACCTAAATTCGAATGAGTGACTCTTAAGTGGGTGTCAGCTGCATAGCTGTTTGGAGGAGAAAGTAATCTTGTGATACTTTATAGATGAGGCGCACAACAGCACTCGACCAGTCTAATTCATTTACGTGCCGACTACTTATATTCTTGCGCACGCAAGCTAATGCATCAACGGATTGGGTTGGAAAGCGGACGCTGCGCTTTAAGCATCTCGTTTGCATGCGCAGATGAAGTTGGCACTCTTTTTTTCTTTTGTGGGAAGTTGCATCACGCACACGTATGTTGGAGCAGTCGGGTGTCGAACCTCCAAGGTTTCCGCAAGCTTTTGACTGTACGGTGCGGTGGCTTTGGCGATTCATTGCGTAATATCCAAGATAGACCTCAGTCTGAGCTCTCTGAATGCATTAAGTCAAAATCCAGGGCATGTCGTGGCCAGCACCGCGGGCAGCAGGAGCACCTGACTCCGGATCCAACCTGACAAGTGCTCAGAAGCGAGCACCAGTAACTGTGAGTACTTTCGAAAAGGCAACAAAGTCCGACTGCTTGTCCCGCTACTATTGTACTTGCCTACGGGGTGCATGTTGAGTCCAGACGCATCGCAAGGTCAGCTGAGGCGTTACCGAGGTTCGGTGGGGCACCATGACGATCGTTCGATACCATGCTTATTATAATTAATTGTGCCCGCCAGCACTGGCCTAAGTAGCTTGGCGCTGGTCAGCAGCATGTTCCTGTAGCTCCGTTCCTGTATCGCCGTGGTAAAGTCCGGAGGTCCGACGACTCACAGCTTATTATTCTTGTCTGCTGACTCTTCTAAGGCACCCACTGGCCTTTGAGCTATAATTTGTTCTCAAAAATGCGCCGTTTGCTTCGCACGCACACTGAAGAAGACCATCGAACTCGCGTAGAGTTTAGTCGTCACGGCGCATTGCCATTTTAGAAAGCAACGGCAAACATGAGGCTCGTGCACTTGCTACCAGAGCCTACCATATCTAGGCAGGACTGTAACATGCTGCAGCACCTTGCAGACACACTCGCAGGACATAACATCTCCCAGTATAATACTCTCGTGGTGACGAAAGACGGTCGTGCCGATCCCCAACGCTGGCGTGAAGTTCGACGGCGAGGCAATGTGCGCATCTACAATGAGCGCCTAACGTCTACTGCACAGTGTCCAGCAACACCGCAGCTTCTACTACTAGGTACTATCGAGGGGAAGTTAGAAGAGGTCATGTATGGGGCAGTGGCAACCACGGACGAGGCCATGAGGATTCAGTCTGCCTGCACGAAGGACAACGTTCGAGACAGCAAGGTGCTGTACGAGATCGTCCAGCCAAGCTTTCACGACCCGTTCCGTACCGTCGCCGTAAAATGGCGACTGTACGAGGGACGTGACTACGTGTCTCTCGATGCAACAGGAATCACTCAAGTCGGTGGATGCGAACGAGTAGGATATAGCATTTCACACTCGGTGGCTCTGTCGGACATCCCGAGCTTTGAGCGATCTCACGGCATCGAGCGAGGAAACATGTCCGTGTGCGCACTGTACCGCCAAAAGACACCCACGACAGTGGAGTGCTACGTTCGTGGCTTCTTCGACTTCAACACGAAAAATGAGGTGCTCAAGAACATGTCACTCCAGACTATCGCGACGCAGTGGTCGGCATACGCACGGAAGAATTCGTGTGCTCTAGCCAAGAAATTGTCCTGGAAAGTACGCAAGAACTGCGGGTGGAGCTCTCAGTCCTCTCGAACGTATTCGTTCGCCGATGACTTGGACGACTTTGTAGCCCCAACGGCCAGGCATCGACCAGCAAGCTCTAGCGGACCTATTCGATGCGCCGTGTGCCACAAAGCATCCAGCTTCTTACAGTCGATCCGACGGACTTGCACGAGCTGCGAGCTGCCAGTATGCTCGAAGTGTGCCGTCAAGAAAACGGTCGTTGCTCTCGCGCCTGACCAACACACCATACTGGAGCGGAAGCGCGCATTTTGCGTGCCTTGCATGAATGCAGTGGAGAGCTGCGATGTGATGCCCATCGCGAGGGAGGAACTCGTGGGTCAGTTAGAAGAAGAGAGCGAAGAAGACATCGACGTATACTGGGCTCGGCTGTCGTCCATGACCGCTAATTCCAGCTGCTACTCGAGCGTCGTGTCTCGACAAAGCAGCCTGGCCAGTAGCTTCGGCAGCTTGAGCAGCTCCAACTTGGCTGAGGTCTTCAACCGTCCCAGTCTCGTTGGCCGAGGTGGGAGTGACCTCTCATGAGTCAACTAGAAGCATACCAGGGTCGTGCTCGAAGCAGTAGAGCACGAAACTGAAGGAAAGGAAGAGTTTAACTACTTAGCTTTAGCAGCACCGATGGAAGTGCTGCAACACGGAATATGAGTCAACTTGTTGTACCATAATGATTGCTCTAATTTGTCACTCATCTAATTAGTGACTTCACTTTCGCAGCTAATGAGCGATGCACCGACGCCTCCGCTACCCCCCGCAAGCCGGCGGACCAGCGCGAGCCCCGTGAGTTCCGCGGCTGCGCAATGGTCTCATGTGGGCCATCACCGCACTAGTATCTCTCCGGAGGCGACCTTCGATGAACAGGACGCGCAGATCAAGCAGGAGCTGCTGGCGCTCATCACTCAGTACCTGCAGCAGGAAGGCTTTGCCATGTCTAGCGCTACGATCCAGGACGAGGCCAATGTCAAGTCCCACGGCAGACTACAGGAGCGGGACGCATTGCGTCGTCTAGGATCCGCTATTATGGACGGGGACTGGGACCTCGTAGCCAAACTTCTGGGCAAGCACCTTAAGAAGTTTCACGCCGCCCACCAGGGCTTCCTCTACGCTGTATGCAAGCAGGAATACTTAGAGCTCATCGACCGACAAGAGTATCAGAAGGCTTTCACCTTCCTCACCACGCACCTCAAGCCGCTGGAGAAGGTGGCGGCGGCCACGAGCTCCAGTCGCCACGAGTTCAAAGAGCTCTGTTACTTGCTCACATGCAAAGCTGTGGGAGAGTCAGACGCCTTCCGTGACTGGGAGGGGGTCGTCAGGTCAAGAGAGAAGCTTGTGGAGCAGTTGAGAGCTACCTTCGCTCTGGAAGAAGTCATCTCTCCCCAACAGGACGGAGATGCGGCCATGACGACTCCACCGGTGGCCATGCCAGACAACAGGCTAGTACAGTTACTGCACCAAAGTGTGGCGTATCAGATGGAGTTCAGTCGATATCATCCCAAAACTATCCCCAAGGTATCGACGTTACTTCGAGACTTCGAATGTGAGGTGCTGCCGAACGCAGTCAAAAGCACTTACGTTGGTCACTCGCAGAATGTAAAATTTGTCACGTTCGTGGGAACGGACGGTGAGTTATTGGCGTCTGGATCCAGCGATGCCACGATTAAGCTCTGGCCGACTGAACTGCCCGATACGCATCAGGAGAGCGGCGAAGAGCAAGTGGACGAGACCACTGGCACTGTTTGTCGTCAATGGACGCGAGATCTGCTTGGCCATTCGTCCAGAATCTGGTATCTTACTGCGAGTGCGTCGGGGGAGCGTCTCTATTCCGGATCGGGTGACGGGACCGTGAAGGTTTGGGATCTTCGTGCAGCTTTAGAAGAGCGTGCTGTCGCTCAGCAGGCTCTGGATGATGGCGACGACCTGTTAAACGGTCAGCGTGGATCTAACGTCATGCAGTCTGCTGCAGCGGATGTTTCCTCTGGTGCCACCTCCGCGATTGCTGCTGCTACAACATTGCCTCACAATTACTCGGTGACGTCATCGGAGTGTCTAGCCACACTCATGAGTCCAAACGGTGGCGATGTGTACACAGTGAACTTGCATCCCAGTGAGACGCATTTGGTGACTGGAGGCTACGACCAGAGTGTGCGCTTGTGGGATATTGCTACTGGCGCAGTGGTCAAGACTTTCCGCAATCACTTTGCGTCCGTGTGCGATGTCCAGTTTAACAGACATGCCAACTTCATTGTGAGCGGCTCAAAAGATGGCACCATTCGATTGTGGGATATCCTTAGTGGACTGTGTGTCCACACATTACGTCAGACACTTGGAGAAGTCACGTCCATCTCGATGGCTTCAAATGGCTACACACTGCTAAGTGGCTCACGTAACAACAGTAATCGTCTCTGGGACTTGCGAATGCTTCACACTCCACGTGCTCACCTGTCAACTGGACTGAGTAGTGGTGCATCGACTGGATCAAGTGGGTCTCTCAGTAGTTTCTCGATCGGAGGCAACGGAGGCGTCGTGAATGGCTACGGATCGGGCTACGTTTCCGCCAATGGAGTTGGAATTTCAGGAGGCGCTGGTTATGGTAGCAGTGGCAACCTAAGCGCAAGTGGAAGTATTAGTGGTGGAAGCACCGGCTTCTCAGGCAGTCGCCATGCAGAGCAACGCCCCCTCCAGCGCTTCAAGGGACATCAAAACACAGCGAAAAACATCGTGCGAGCATCCTTCGGTCCACGCGAGAGTTTTGTCCTGGGTGGATCGGAGGATGGCTACGTGTACGTGTGGGAAGTGGCTACGGGCAAGTTGCTGGAACGCCTTTCTGGTCACCGTGGTGTTACGTATAATGCGCGATGGCACGAAAAGCAGGCGTTGCTTGCTTCAAGCTCCCATGACGGCACCGTTAAGACGTGGTGGTGGCAAGACAAAGCCAACTAAACTGTGAGGTGATCCTCGAGTTCGGCTCACACGAGTAAGTAGGTAGGTATATCGGACCGTATAAATTCCATGATGTTTCTATGTCTATTGCTGCTCGACGACATCGCTCGCACCGGTTTGAATAAGGAATCTTTTCCACACGACGGGGAAGAGGTCAGCGACATCTCGAGCAACCTGCTTACACTTCTCTTCCTGCTCTACACCGACTGCTTCTCCACTGAAGAGCTCGTTTACAAACAGATACTCAAGGAACTGTTCGCCGAGTGCCTCGTAAGTGTCGGAGACTTCGTTCGAGATTTTGAAAAACCCTGGAATAGCTTGGAAACGATTCCTCATGAATTCCTTACCCATAGCCAGCGCTTTTTTCGAAGTCACAGGTTTGGCTCTACCTTTTATATGTATACAAGGAGTTTAGTATTCGGCAGAACGTCTAGGCTTTCTCTCGGATGGCACGCAGACACAGATACCAAACACTCTGGCCCAATACATCCGATGGACAAAGCCTTCGTCCTTTAGGCACAACGTAACACCACCGACGTGTTAAAACGCAACATTAATGCAAACAGGTTCGAAGCAGACAG